AGTGTTGCATCAGCCGGTGTTTGAGAACGAGGCTGGTGACTTGATTGTTGTAGTATTCGGTACCGGTCTTTGTTTTAGAAATCGCGAGTCACATGATTATTTGGCAATCATTACAAACGTAACGAGGATTTAACAATAACACTGCTGTGCTAGGAAGATTGGTGAAACGGAAAGTAAAACGTACGAAACGAGTGTGGGGGTCATTACCAGACATTAAGGTAAGCTATAGTCGTATTGAATTGAAAATACTACTAATATCTATGAGGATTCTTTATTTTCTTTATTCTTTCTTAACCCGGCTTTTACATGTGTGTCGTTGTGTGGGTTTATAACGATTCTAACGTAAATACTATGTTGAACAGTTCTATTTTTATAAAACATTCTCAGTATTTTAGCTTAGTAGAAAGGATAAGTTTTTCAGACCCGAAATATATTGAAAACTCATGATCGTTTTTTCAGTTCGCTTTATAAAAATGTCAATGTTYTAATTTATAATTTAATGTCCATAATTCAAAATGTAATGATTTAGGAAACGTAAAGTGTATATATATTCTAAATACAATAATCAGTTGTAATTTTCCTTCAATATCAGTTTCGATCTGTTATTATAGGGTGATATTACAGTATTCTTTAACTTTTTTTTATTTAATAATTTTTCATTGCGACATATCAGTCGACCAAAGATATATTCAATTATGCGGGGTTAGTAAATGAGCCTTATAATGAAAATGAAGAATTTAGGTATGYTAATCTTTTAGGCCAAAATTCATTAATTTATCATTGCAAACAAATGGGAAGAATGAACGTAGATTTTAAAATAAACTTTGATCAGTTTTAACGATGTCATTTAGAGGTTGTGAAAATGAGAAAAAAACAGCAGGGGTCTGGACTCAGTGTCACGATATATACTACTTACACTGAGAAAAGATGTTATCATCAGACTTTCCATTGAATTTCRTAATCTCAATTAATTCCTCTTTTCGGTTAAGGGCTAATGATCCATTTGTTCAAATAAATAGTATGTTCAGTGAAAATRAATCTCCTTTAGGTTTTTTATTCGATAAAATTGGCCTTTTTTATCTTTGGCGGTATTATTTTTTTTTATCTCTCTCGGTTTCTTGTCATTTCCTTCTGCATRGGTTTGTTTTGACGATTTGAGTAAAACGTGGCGGTTAGGTAAACATTCATTGAAATTATCGGAAAGTTATCGATCGATAAAAATATACTTCAGATGTCGTATTTTTATTAGTTCGTCAGACGTCTTCTTTCGAAGTGAGGCGTCTCCTTGGAAACTTCAAATTTCCACTCAATTCTAAATCCACGCAAGTGAATCGAACTTGTTATTTATCAAAAAACAATTATTTGTATGAAAATAGTTGCTAACACTGCAAATAAATAGTAAGCGATACGAAAAAGGTAAGGAAAATAGTTGGTAGAGTTTAATCTTCACGTGATGAGAACCGCGGATTACAATGATACGTCTCATCATTCTGGCCTAAGGAATATTGAAGCGCGTCTTYGCGCAAATGAAGATTTTGAAAACATTTTTCTAATTTGAGGTATCCATCGATATGTAAACAGCGTTTACCTGAAATACAATTAAGAAAACATTGTAGGAAAACGTTTGCGGTTTGAGTGTAATTATGTTACTGCGACCACAAGAAGGCGTTAATCCTACTTTTATAAGAAATTTCCAATTTGTTCAAATCGTCTAGACACAATTGAAAGAAACATTGATTACAATTTTMRGCAGTCGAAGAAGAAACATTRAACACTGAATCCCATGGAACTCRAAGTAWRAATTTACATCGTTCGTAAAACATGTGACCAATTTACCTGTAAAAATAATGTTATGTCGATGTGGGCATGTAATTATGTACAAAACCTAGTGCATATGATATTAAAGATGCATGATTTTGATAACTATGCATACCTGTGAAAAAAATATGGATTTTGTTAACCTGGTTGTATGAATTATTAAGATTATGTGGTTGTTAATGTCACCATGAAGTCTTTTTTTTAAAAAGGAAAGCAAACCATCAAGAAAATCAGTCAATATATATTAATTTTACTACATTTTGTACAATTTAGGTTGACTAATATTTTCGTGCAAACTATAATTATACAATTCAATGTTTTCAAAGGAAATTTTGAATTTGAGCATATTTACTAGATGCTCAAAGTCATTCGCTGATTGTAAAATCATTTGTAGTTATTCGAGGATCTGGGAAACGGCGATACAACCKGAAMTGAAGCATTCYTGGACGTATTTCTGCAATTAGTATTCGTTGATGACTTGTCCAATCAGTTACTAATACTTTCCCGCTCAGTAATACTGTAATAGTTCCTTCGTCGTAACCTCCCCTTTCACGGTAGTATATGATTTCTAACTCCGCATATGAAACGCGAGCTGATTGAAGCGCACTCGAGAGCGCACGAACGTTTCTTTYTAGCTCAACTATTTACCTCTGGGCGCTCGCTTGCATGAAGCTCACGRCATAATCACTTAACTTTAGTTGTATTCAACAGCTTCGGCACTAAAAGCGGTAAAAGTCCAGTWGATGATTATAATTAGGTTCATCTTTCATGAAGATTATCATTTAAACATTTTTTTTTCTTTATCCTCCTTATATCTCATTGCGGATCTAGTAATCTTGAGTGAAAGGACCTTTGTCCGATTTTTCCGACATGCGGTTTAGTTTTGTGTAGAATTGTAATGATCCACTTGTTACCTCACATGAGCGTGTAATGGCTTTTAGTATTTGTGATAATTAAAAATTTTCCACGTGGTCCATAACCCATGTGATTTGCAAAGAAAATACTTCTATAAATAGTTGAGCTACCGCCTGTGATTTTCTGCACGAGGCATAGCACTCCATCGCATGCAGGGCACATCTCTGAATTAGCGCGAACTTGAACTTGRACTCTGAGAGTTTTTCTTTGCTGAAAGAGTTAGAACATAAAATATCCAGAGGCCRTCTTTCCACCTAAAGTTTCGGCGCGTAGTTTTTTCCAACTGYATGTCCTTCAGTTTTCTATGTTTCAAATAGTTTAAGTTCTCGACAGTCAAGACTAGGTCTAAGTGCTCAGTATTTTCATAGCGGCTACTGCCTAACATCGGTGGAGCACGTCAGATGTTGGAATCCGTGGAAGAGGGTTTTCTGTTCTACAGTCAATTGTAATAAAGCAGGCTGGAAGGGACGCCAAAATCCTTGCGCAAAAGTTGTGTTGGCGTTAAGCACGAGCCGCAGGCGAATATTTCTCCTCACGTCTTTCGTCAGTTGACATCAACGACTCACTGACAGACAACAGTTCTCATCTAGTGTAGCCAATCAGATTAGTCACATGTATTGCCATAGGCCATGGGTCACAGAATTTAAAATTGGATAGTTGTCCAGACTGTCCTGCTATGAAACTGACCTTGAAGTGGCAGCTACTTTCTCGTCACAGTAGAGCGCCATTCAACATAAATGCTAATTTATGCGGGTAAATCTGGAATTTCAAACAAAATGGAAGGTACTAGTATCTTCCGGATATTTCTCAGTTTACATTTCGCCGATTTGCCTTTSAACAAATAAAATCTTGACTTTAGTGCACTCTGAATTTTGTGAAAACTGAAAAAAAGGTAAGCTGTCCAATCGTTAAAAACTTGCGTTTTTGTACAATTTTCAACCAACCGAGCATTTTCGACTATACGGATTGCGCCCTCGAGACGTCTAGAAATTGAATTGAGATAATATAAGCTGGGTAAAATAGACCACCTTGAAGGGTTTTAACAAAGACGCACAGAATAAACTGTGCAAAACGGAGTTTTATCGCAAATATTCACTGAGCTGGTTTCAGATGAGTTCATTTCGCAAGCTCGTGTTCGCTGCTCGCATGAGCTCAGTTTCTAACAGGGATAGTCATGTTGTTTAGAACATGTTGGTTGCTATTTTGCGGTACTAACCCCACTAATTCCAAACATACTATGGAGACAAATCGTAGGAAGGAAATAGGTTGACATGTTATGACAAGGTACATTGTTTTCATTGTGTAAACTCATCCAAATTTTGTCTATTTTGAACTCAGAAAATAGGCTGCACAACTACAAAAATCTGTGCTAAATTTTCCTTTTATAAATCAATTTGGGTTGGCGGTTTTTGGTACGTATGAAAAGAAGTACAAATTGTCAATTAATAATTCACATTTAATAACAAAAATAAAGTGGGTTAATCATATAATAGTGGCTTAATAGTTAGCCATTTTGTAAAAAATTGTCACTCACTTTATAAACTGTATAAACTTCAGTATATACTTTTTTACTTAAGCGTGTGACTCTTTTTATATATATTGCATGTCTGATTGCTTTAGAAATTCAGTGATACTATCTTTACATATATTAAAATTAATAGAATCTTTGTTTTTAGCAAACAATTCGCGGCAATTTTATCTCGCTAAAAATCTCGACCAATCGACTCTCAAATCACGAAACCTACCAACCGACACACGAACGTGCATAAACAAYACTGAAACACTTTATATGGTATAAAACGAGTGTTATTCTGCTTCATTATCAAATCTAACAGTTTCACAATGTATTCCAAGTATTTTTATGACCTAGTTTTCGAAGTATAACTGACGCTTAAGGAATGTTATGATTCCGGAAGTGGAGTCATTGTGACTCAAGATTTTCCATTGTTCAACCTTGATTAATCATCTTCTGTTTGAAAAGGTTTTCAAATTCTTTAACCGGTGCAATACTAAGGAATCAAATGAATTATCTGCTCTTGTTATAATAATAATTATAAGAATAAGTACCAAAGATAAGATACTTAATGAGATATTAATTGCTATTATGGTCAATCGAGCTGAATTTCTGTCAGCGTTGGTAACTTTTTGAGGGTTAATTTATGGGCTTGTAATTCAGCAAGTATTTATGTTTTAGCTTGATAACGAAAAAATGTAGTGTTTATACTTGAAAAAGAAAAAAATTATACTAGACTAGAAGGCGACCATTTCTGGGCATATTCTGGTCAGGATTTGAAGCTTGAGGCGTTTGTGGAAGATTTTGGTATTTCAGGCCTTTCAGCTTTTGTAGTGAGATTCCTCAACCAATTTTTCAATAKCGATTCCGATTCTGATAGTCTATTGAAATTGCTATATCCTAGAGGTATTTCAAATCTATAATCAAACAATACAAGATAAACATTTTAGTTTAGGCATAATACGGAAAAAGCGCATTCGATGGTTGTAGGGCTTTTATAGATTCTTCGGTTCTTTCTTTATGGATAATTTTCTGATACAATCTAATCTATCCTATTTTCATAAATAACTTAAAMAATTAGAAGTTTATACAACTGGAAAAACACACTAAATGACTTTGGACTTTTCACGTGGAGTTTTCATGTGTCCGACGCCGGTTGACCCCGACTCAGCCCCTCTCTGACCCGAAGAGATTATGAGGCGCCATCACTTCCGTCCCAAATATATCTGTGGCTTTCAAAGAGACAAATATTGCTGGCAATTTCCTCAGTTTTAAAGCATGATTCTTATGATATTAAAATATTTTTCACTGTTTCAGCTCTTTCTAATTCGGWATACCGTTATTTTCTTGTAATTTTGACGGGGCTTGGCAAATCAATTCTTATGCTAATTAGTCACGTGATCAACATTTTCACACTAATCCACAGTGTGGTTCGGAAATGTCTTGTACTATCGACAGATTGTGAATCCGTCTACAGTTCTTCAAGAATTCTGCTTATTTCCTTGGTAATACGCAACTGGAAGTCACTGGTGTTGTTATTTGGCTTGGMTYGGTCTTAATGTCGTTCAAGTAAACGTGRAAAATTGGCTGGTTTTGTGAGTCGCGTCGGTTTGGGATTCAACAACATGACAGAAGTGTTGGACGCAACCGAAGGCAATATCATCCAGCACATCTTAAACGACCTGAAGGTACAGCGAATGACCTTTTTATCCATGTGAATATACACTAGTGACATTATTCTAAATCTCTGTCAAAAAATCTTTGTTGTTTTTCAGACWAGCGCGCCGGTATGGGATGATTTTGTTGGCAAAGCTGGAAAACTGCATTCGGCGCTGAGGTTCGTTTATTTCGATAGATTTTCAATTTTTAAGTAACTGTTAAATGAGAGTGTAAATGATACTGTCTCAATAGTGTTGGAAAGACATTTATTTTTGTGCTCAAACTRTATAAATATTTGTGTCCTCACTAGAGCGACGGTTGTAGCAGCAGATGCATTCCTCGATGCYTTTCAGCGAGTGGCAGATGTAGCCAACAATTCGAGAGGTTAGTGGAGTTTTTTTCTCTGTGTTTACTTGGTCTGTTTTCTCTCTCTTTCCGAGAAGAAATCAGTCCAAACAACTACGCTTTTGTTATAATAAAGTCTAGTCTTTGTCGTTATTTYGATTGTTCCAAACTCCAGCGTGAAAATCTTGAAGCAAAACAGTTGATCTCCATTGAAACAAATCAATTTTTTCGCGCGGGATTTGTGTACATTTTTTTTTTTTTCAGTGAAAAAAATTGGATTTTCTCATCGAGAAACTACTATTGTTTTTCTATAGAATAAAAAAACTTGTGGTAACTTTTTACGCTAATATTTACTACTGAACAGGTATTTTATTACCAACGATACAAGCGTTGAAAATTTCATTCACGCTGTCGTTACGTTTGGCTTGACTTGTCAAAATCTAACATCGGCTGTTTTCATTCAAGACTGCTAAAAATCGCCCGATATTTTTGCGTTCTGAATCAGTTCTCCTTAAATATCATTATTCTCCATTTTTTTTCCTTTTTAAGTCGTTTTTCGTCCCCTGTAAAGGTAAAAAAACATATGTTTGTCTGAGAACGCATTGGCATTTGTTGATGTCTTGTCAAGATGACTTTACTTAGCTCGACTGCTTTTCCCTCGCTCGACTACAAGCGAACAAATAAATCTTTGTATTGGTAATTGTGTATTTATTAATCATAACCCCAACTGGGAGCTGTCTTTATTTTCATTTTCTTGGCGGTCACTAAGTGATGCAAAAATTGGAAATTTTTTTGCTGTTCTCAAAAGCCTTGTGGATTATTTAGTTGGCTTTGGTTTTGTTGTAAACAAAGGACGTCTTTTGCTGTTCGGAAAGGCTGTTCTGRCTAAAGTTTCTTTAATCCCTTTGTCAATAGTCATTCTGGCGTTAAAAAACTAGCGTGCAAACGAATTCAAAACAGTAGCCCAGCCTACCTAGCAAGCTAAACAATATCACAGGAATAATATATTTCGAATTCCTATTTTCGCGTTCTGAATCTTTTGGCGATTCAATGYTTCCTCTTCCCACGCGATACTATATACCAAGGTATTGAGTTATCTGGTCAAAAAGATTGACTTTATGTGGCGAACGAGGAGTTTTACAAGCTGATTGAAAACACGTTTGTACATCGCTATGCGTTATTAATATTCATAAGTGGGAGACAACTGCGGTTTTGCACTCAGTTCAGTATAAAATAACACATGGTATTGGCCTCTGTTGTTTAAAACATCATTATATTTCCATCTATTGAAAATAACTCGGTCTCGCAGACTTTATGTCAAGCTGTAGTCACCAGTGCTTGCAATGTTTGCTGTTTTTAGAAGTTGAAAGCAGTGAGGTTTTTGTGTCCACACCCATTTGGTTGCAGATGTCTTTAAGGYTCTTAATATTTGGAAACATTCTGAATGAGATCRGCCTATTGTCAGAAGAGCATGATCCCTGAACTCAGATATCTCTCAATCCACCCATTGCCGTTTTTAAAATAGTAAACAAATCCTTATTTTTATGTAAAAATCAATATTCATGCATGTGTTTTTATTACCAAAATGTATTATGTAAAAAAAAATGGTTCAGTTGTTTTAAGCGTATACAATTTTTAAGTTATAACTAAATTTTATGTTAAATTTGTGGCGTCAATTGACATTGTAAAGCATGGGTATTCCTTAAGTTTGAGTATATTCTTAAGCGTCTGTTGTACAAATCTAATGTAATGCGTACTAAAAGTATAAGAGTGCTACTATATTAGATGTCAATCACAAGGCCATTGTAAATCGACCTCTCTATATCAAGAATTAGTCACTGTATCCTTGGCCGCCTTGATATCATCTATAGATACATGCATTATATGACAGCCCCCAGAGTGCCTGGGTGAGCTTATGTCTTTAATTAAAGTTAAATGGCTTCCTTATGTTAYTCAGATGATCTTTTTGATGGCTATTTGATTATTTCTTACCTGAATTCTTATAAAATTCAAAAGGCTGTTTCATTTTCTAATTCAAATGATATATTTAAGTCAAGATATATTGCATCTGTAAAGATTACAATTATTTGAATTTCACAAAAAGTGTTATCGAAACAAGATTACAATATTATTACAAAAAAAAAAATCACAGCTTTGTATTGAATTTCTATTGTTTTTGTTCATGTTGTTTTTTTTGCTCTCTCTGTGGGCCTTCACAGGAAATATACTATTTCTGGCAAAAGCTCATCGCGAGTCATATGTATATATAGTAAATTTGATATATAATTAATGAATCCTGTTGTTTATACAACATATGAATAATATTTAGTGTGCCTGAACTGATTCCACTGAAAAGACCTACAAACTAGATACCATATATAGTAAGCTCATTAACCTATTATTTTTAAAGCTTTCTAATAACATGTTTAGTGTACATATGTACCAAATATGTAGTTGGTTGACAGCCCTTTTGTTTTCAATAAATATAAAAAAAAAATTATGTACATTTTCCGGGTTTTACATGTACTTAATGAACACAAATTGTCCAAGGAATACACATATGCCTGACTGTATTTATCCATTAATTCTAAGGCCAATTTGCACTACTGAAGTATTCAGAGGCAAAGAAGACATAATGAAGGAAGCAGGGTTAGCAGGTTTGCTTCTTTGCTTCCTTGCGCGCTCCCACGTCTTGTAGTTGTTTCCTCAAGTCTTTTGTTTGTTTCCACTTATTTTATCAGTAAAATTCAGCCTTGAGAACATAKGAACAATTTTCTTATGGTCATTGTATCTTTATGTTTATTTTAAACACTATTATTGGCCTCGCAATACTCTACTATGCATTACAGTGTACGTCAGAAACTCATAAGGGGATTCAATCCCCTTATGAGTTTCTGATTGCGTTTATCACTGCATTCACTGGAGGAAAATATCAGCTGATGATGCAGTAGGATTTCTTTGCTGTCCTTTTTGCCAGTTTATATTTTTGTCATGATTACTTTYAAGAAGACAGAACAACATTTTACTTCATACACTTGGTATCATTTCTAATGTCATTCAGATGTCCTAGAAAGCATGCAGACGACCATTAAGAAAATTCCATGTGTTAAGTGYCTTTAAAAGAACGCTTATATTCAACTAACATTTAATGGTCATTCTCGTCTGTGTGCTTAACGTCTCGGCTATTTTCATCAGAAATACTGTAGGTTAAAAAGGTCAACTTTACTTCAACAGCAGATTGATAACATATTCAGCCCCAACTTTTCTATTGTCGCTGTCTAGGAGGTAGCTGAATGTTTTTTGTTTGTTAATTAGTACCTAGGAAATCACTAGGAAATTTCCTTTTATTTGGTTGTTTTTCTTAGAAATTATAGTGGTTTGATGGCCATTAAGTTCGCTTTGTTGTTCAATAGTGCTAATGACGTTTCCTTTCATGGGTTTTGAAGGGTGGTTTGTTATTCGATACTTTAGGAAAATCTTATATTACATGGCAAAATACATGTAGTAGTTAGATTTCTAAAAGGAAATTACTTACAGCATAATGTGAATTGTTTTCATATTTTTTTGTTAGCATAATAAAATTCAGAACTCCATTTTGGCAATTGAGACCTTTTTCCTTTTCTTTGTTCTTTCGTCCCTTCTTCCTTCCTTTTCTTTTTCAAACTGGTCACCTTTTTTCATTTTTTTTTTTTTTTACTAGTCTGAACCATGAAGATAAACTTATTGATGATAGATTTTCACCTGATGACAAAAAGAAAGCTTTTGAAGTTTGCTCTAGTGGCAAGCTCTTGGATCTTTACCAAATTATTGAAAACGCAATCTCTTTAGATGCATTTGAGGCACTTGACATTTGAACATGATTTGTACTTTAACTGTGTATACAATGGATAATGATTTTGTTCAATTCTCTATCTTGTCTTTTTTAAAGCATTCATTGAAATTGTTGTACCATATTTGCCATTGTATAAGACAACCTGTTAAGCCTCAAAATCAACCTCCAAAAATTGACCTTGACTTATAAATAGAGTCTAAAAAGTTACTTCTCGATTTTCACTTTAATTCAAAGCAAAAGTAATCTTTTTTTTGTAAAAAATGTAAAACCTATGATAAGAGAATTCAGTTACATTGAAAACTGCAAGTATGATTCATCTTTCACTCAGTCTTTTTTGAAAAAAAAAAAATTCTGACTCCACATTGAAACTTTCTCTAATAAAGTAAATTCTGGTACAAATGCGAGTGATTTAGATTATCAGTGCAAGGGCGCTAGAACTGAAATTATGACCTATAAGATCCAAAAATTGCTTAATTTATCCAACATAAGATAGTCGATAATAAATTGTAAAGTTTTACTTATCTGAAATATACAATTTTTTTTATATTTGGAAAGAAAAGACTTTTKTTATAGTAACAACAATTTGTACAAACAAATTTGATTTCATTTATTTAAGCTACATTTTGAAGCCGAAAACAACCACGGAGAAAGCCAATTTCGGAATTCCTGTGTGCCAGATCAAAGTCTTCGTGATGACGTAGAGGGAGTAAGTCGTTCGAGAGACAACGATTGATACCTACAGTGAAATGACAGGAGGGTTTGTGCTACTCCTTAAAGTCCTTGAAAAGTCCTGGAATTGAAAATTCATTTTTGGGGAAAATCGCTGAAACTCCTGGAAAACTCCTTGAATCTGATAAAATTGACATGTTGAATGTTAGCTTTTGGATTGAATGTGTCTATTTAAAAAAAATCGCCACTTAAAACRTCTGCAAACATCAAAAAATATCTTCAAATCTACGTCATCAACCCAGGCTCCCTCGCACACTCAGCCAAAAATCATTTGGCCGAATTAAACGAGCATAAAAAATATAGAAATTGGAAATTTTTTTATGTGAATTTGTGGTTCATAATTCCTAAACTTTTGTTTCCAAATGTAAAAACAATTGGGTGAGCTGAATTTTAAACTTAATTACTTCTATCTTGCAGGGTCTTCAAGGGACATTGGTGCATCCTTAACTAAAATGGTAATAAGACACAAAAGCATCGACGGCAAACTGAAAACTCTGATTGGGTGAGTAATCATTTCTCATATCCATGYATTGCAAAGAGTATGAAGTGTGAACAGAATGYTACATGTTTAGCTGCTCTTTCGAGCTGTAAAAATGTTAATTTTGTTATTGATAGCAAGTAAAACTTCATCAGTGTTTACACTGACAAGACTCTGTTAAAGCTCTATAAAGCTGTGACCAAGTAAACACAGGACTTTATCTAAAGTTAAATTTGCCACAAATTATTTTGACTTACTGTACAATTTTGCTTTTGATTTTGTGGCAATGGTTTGTTTAGCTTAATGCCTATGACAGTAGCCTTTTACGTCAGTATATTACATTAATACCTCATTTGTAAGACTGAATTATAATCACCGATTCATTTTAACTCCAGTATATTGGCACACTTTAAAATATAATTAACAYGCTCTTGAATGCTATCAAACACCCMAAAAAGACATTTTCAAGCAAGGGATTTTTAACTTTAATSACTATTGTAAAGTCCTTGTTAGGATAATATATTGACACATGATTAGCGCACACTTTTGAGATTATTAAATGTCAAAATAGTCATCTTAAACTTATTGTAAGTAGAAAGGTGAAATGTTTGATACCTAAAACTCTTAAGAGCAATTGCAATAGTACTTGTGACATTAGATATTCCAAACTCATGACCAGTTGTARAATTTCATTTTTATCTAAAATGGAAATGGAACAAARAAGGACTKTGAAAATTGCAAATGCATGAAGAAACTGTTTTTGTTGCAGACTGCTTTATGATTCATTGATCAGTCCACTACAAGTTAGCATAGATGAATGGAAAAGAGGTGTCAACCAACTCGACAGGGACCATGCTAAAGGTAACATTCATGTACAATGTTACTGTAGTTTCTAGTGGAAGAAACACACAAAGTGTGCAACTTTTACTATTTCATATTAACTACATTGTGTGTAAAGAGCTATGAAGCTGAGCTATGAAACCAACTATGTTGGCGAGCAGTCATTTCATTGGCTGAACCCATCCAACGTAGCGTGTTGGCTTCATAGCTCAGTTGGCAGAGCACTGCTCTGGCATTGCAGAGGTTATGGGTTTTATTCTCATTTCATTTATTATATTTCACTGTGACAATCATTATTCCTTACGCATTTAGTCAACCCACTTCATACCATCATTTCATTTTAATGAAATTATAAATAAATTTAGTATATTTCTTTTTTTTTGTTAAAACTACATTGTAGTGGTAGACAAACTTAATCCATAAAAAATAATAAATAGTACAAAATATATACTAAATTATGCTAGTCTCATTTATGTTTTCTAATGTTTCAACACTACAGTATTTGTGTGTAACTATTCATCAGAAACAATTGAATTATTTTCTATTGTGAAAATTGCAAATTTTACGGGAGAGATGAAAATATTTTATGGTATTTTTCATTATTTGTTATCTCTGAATTAAAACAGAATACAAGAAATGCAAACAAGAAATGAAAAAAATCACAGCYGAGACCCTGAAATGGCAGAAGAAAGTCAAGAAAGGTATTCMGTTATCCTGCTTACTCTCTAATAGATTATAATCATTTGTAACAAAAATATAAGCCTTTCGAAAATTCATGTAGCTTTATATGTAAAGTTTAATGATGATATAAGCTTAAATGTCAAGCTTTAACTTGAAAAGTGAACAAGATGTCAGTGTTTGAGGGTTTTTAAGCAGAGTATGCCATCTTGTAAAATTTCTATCCTCTTTATTGATCCTTGRACTTTTCTTTCTGTCAGTYGTACTTATTGTTGTGTATGTTTTCTTTTACTAGGCAAAACAGAGCATCAAGACCGCTTGGATGCTGTTATTAAAGTATGCAAACAATGACTGCTTATTGCTTATTGTGTTGATTATTGTTGCTTGTAAAAAAAATTTATTGTGCAAAGTTTGATAGTGAAGTATTCACTTTTAACATTCAAAAACAATATTTGGGTATTTTGTTTATTTTATACTTTAATTTGACAATTATCCTAAGTGATAGAGATTTTCTTTCACTGGCTTAAAGGAGCATAGTCAACCATCATTCAATGCGATCGTGCTTCGTAATTTTCATATATCAAAAATGAGTTGACTTCATTTGCAATCCGTTTCCATCCGTCGTTTTTAAAATCAATTCCTACAATATCTCCATTCATAGAGCCTTTAAGGGATAATAAAGAGTACGTTCGCTTATATTTCGATGCATTTTTTTTCGTAATCCACAGCAAGCTAATGCACAACTAGCAGCTTTTGAAGATCAGGAAAGGAAGTATCTTAGRAAAGCTCTAATAGAAGAGCGCTCTAGGTACTGCACAATGGCAACCTGCGTTAAAACTGTGGTGGTAAGTGTTTTAGAAAATCTATGAAAATGCTTTGGAAGTGAATAGTGCTATGCACCTGATAAATCCTTATTCAGCGGATGATAACCGGCCCCAGTGGACGGTTGTACGATCCTAATTTGAAAATTCCACAATTCTTGGTGTGCAACACGTGACCAAGAATTCCCTGAGAAATAAAGAACAAAGCTATCGCCGCCATGTTTGATGAATTAACAAGAGAAACTAATGAGGAATGCTTTGTGATCTTCATCCAACATGGCGGTGACGGCATAACTTGCACGCCAAGAATAGGTAATGCCCAATGTAAAAATCCAATCTCATCTTTTTCTTCAGGAGCAAGAAATTTCCATGCTAAATGAAGTAGAACACTTAGAATCTTTACTCGTGGATATYGTAAAACAGACTTACAATCCTGCCACCCTACCAGTCGTGGGMGAAGACTTGGTACGYAACCTCAGGCTTTCTGATCACTCRTCGGGATCATGGGACGACGAACAGGTACTGATCTCAATCATAAAGTCTTTGTTTTCCAGTGTCTATATTAACATAGTTTTTACATACTCTTGCGAATTTTAATCTAATCCACTTGTTATAGACTCCCCCRCCAAGTCCAACTAACACTGCAGTCCGCACTCCAGGCCAACCRACTGCATTCCAGCGATCCTCCAGTCCAGTCCATAACAATGTCAGAGAACCACCAACAACTCCCCCACCACCTCCCCCTTCGGAAAAAGAAGCCTACTTTGATGTATTCAGTCGTCACTACTCCTTCTCGGCCAAGCACTCTAATCCCAAAGGTAGAGTTCAACGTCCTAAACTGCCCGTTGCAACTCCCCAAGCGTCTCCTAAGAAGCARYCAAAGAACCTCAGGTCGTCCAGTTTTAGTATTTCGTCAAATTCGTCGTATTCWTCRATGTCTTCWYTGGGYTCCTCTGTTGGYTCGCCGTCCACAGAATCTTTGCCACACCCACCTCCACCTTTRCCTCCTCAGCACATAGCGGGTTCTATAGATCATTTACCGCCACCTCCCTTTCCCGGTGCTCCTACTTCTACTGATCAAGGTATGTATGACAAATGTCATGTGCGGTTTTAGTAGCAGTTTTACCTCCTCATTTGTTTACGATTGTAACTTTACAGCTGATGTTTCAGTGCGTATTTTTTTGAAGAGCTTTACTCCACTTTGTTTCTTTGTTTTCTATTATTAAAGAGTCTTAGATTCACGATAACTTCAAACGTCAATTTGGCTTTTAAGCTTTGTCTCAAAATTTCAAACAAACGCATCACTATTSGAAAGGAATAGTGATGCGCTTATGYACTAAAAAGYGATCTATTTTATACACAATCGCGAAAGAACTTAGCGTTAATACAGAAAAACAGTGATCACGTGATCAGTTTGGCGTTCGCCGTAAACGCGTATCTAAAACTGTCTATATTGTCTAATCTAAACTATTTAACGCAATTTAATACTATTTGGTTATTTCTTTTAGTGTTTGCACTTTAGGCTCTAAAAACTCATCACAGCTTCACCCAAATACCTTGCTGTTTACAGATTTAACGGAAATTGATGTTTTTTAGGTGCTGCAACCCGCAATGACCGCTCGTCGTGGATGACGTCTGACTCGGGTTGCTATTCTTCGTCGTCTGGTGAAAGATCCCCTTCAACATCCATGGGTCAGGTCTACTGCCCCAGTACCGTCCCAGAATACCCCTTRGAGGARTCAACGTCACCTGATGCTCCTCAGTATGCCACGCCCTTCGTGACGTCATCCCGCAATCGCTGCATGAGCGAGTCYGCAACCCAGTCAGCACATGGTCGCGTGCACCGACGCAGTGATAGCGAGGCATCTTCGCAGAGTAGTTACTACTCGGGGGGAAGCGATGCAACGAGTATTGTGTCGAGTGACTCGGGATATTTTGGGCAAAACCAACACCATCCTGAATGGCAGAGGGAGAACTCGGCACCAGCGGCWCTCTCGCCGCCCAAGCAAAAAGTGATGTTTAACAGGAGTCAAAGTGTTTCTGGGAAACCTAACGCAGCWCAGGCAGCCCAACTAGCTGTCCTAGCTAGCCACGCTGCGCGTAGTCGAAGTGCGCCCATGCCCCCTCTTAGAAAATCTTCAGTTCCTCCTCCTGCTCCTCAGAGAAAGACATCGCTTGTTAACGAAGAAGCAGTCGACGAAGCAAACGAAGACAGAGAAAAGCCAAGCATGTTGTTGAGGCAAATACAAATGCAACGACAAGCTATTCATAGCAAGGCGAAGCATCCAGAGCAAAGCTGATCGGTGCTCAATTTTGAAGCTACAGATTGTTCATTACCGCTAAATCGCAATTAATGTCTCGCAAAGGTGTTGTTTTGAGCTGTTATTAGCTTACAAATATACAGCAACATCGCAATCTAGCAAGGAACTTATTTGAATGTCAAGCGATGTGACGTGACGTGGGACCAGACCCCAAGCATGAACGTACCCTGAGGAATATCTATCTACGATAAGCTCTGTTATAGCTGTTATTAGCTTACAAACATACAATAACATTTCAAACTAGCAAGGAACTGATATGAATGTCAAAGGATGTCGCGTTGACATGGGATCAGACCCCAAGCATGAACGAACCCTGAGGAATATCTATCTACGATAGGTTCTGTTATAGCTGTTATTAGCTTACAAATATACAGCAACATCGCTAGCAAGGAACTTATTTGAATGTCAAGCGATGTGACGTGACATGGGACCAGACCCCAAGCATGAACGTACACTGATGAATATCTATCTACGATAAGCTCTGTTATAGCTGTTATTAGCTTACAAATATAACAACATCACAATATGGGAAGGAAGTTGTTTGAATGTCAAGCGATGTGACGTGACATGGGACCACAGACCCCAAGCATGAACGTACCCTGAGGAATATCTATATACGATAAGCTCTGTTGGAGCTGTTATTAGCCTACAAAAACAACAACATCGCAAAATAGCAAGGAACGTATGTAACGTAACATGTGACAGACGAGCATACACTGTACCCTGTGAAATATCTATCTGCGATAGGTACTGTTAAAGCTGTTATTAGCTTACAAATACAGCGACATCGCAAAATAGCAAGGAATGTATGTAACGTAACATGTAACAGACGAGCATACACTGTACCCTGAGAAACCTCTATCTACGATAGGTACTGTTAAAGCTGTTATTAGCTTACAGCGACATCGCAAAATAGTAAGGATCAAGACCCCAAGGAGGAGCATACTTCGAGGAATATCTGTATACGATAAGTACTGTTATGGCTTTCAGATCGGCTTGCTAGTGCAGTAAAATCACAAACAGAAAGGAACGGATCCCAAGCATGGATACTGATCACGACATACAGGAATCAAAAATATTATAGGGTTAAYAAATGAAAAAAAGAAGGGCTAAACGCCGTATGACATGGCAGTKACTACAGTGGATAGCTCCTACTGCATTGGTCTAGCAGTTAAAAGACGAAATATTGTATTACCTTGGCTGTTATTTAAGTGCTTTTATATATAGGGGAGTGCTGAACGTCAAAATGCAACCGTATATTCTATAGGCCGTGTGTCAAAAAACGAAAAAGTCGATTTAGATCCACAAGTCACTTAAGCTCATCCCTTGGATAGGATCGTCGTTGAGCGACTATCATCTTTCTAAAAAAATGAGCGAAAACTGTGACTTGTGGAACCAATGAAATAAGTAAAAATAATGTACCTTTCAAATGACGCTTCTAGTGCGTCATTTTGGACCGATGGGACGATTGAAAAATATAGCTAATCTATATGTACCTTTTTCAATAAAAACTTTAAAATCGCATTTACCAATAAAACGACGGTTGCAAGTTGATGAAAGCATGAGCGCTTTCCCTGATTATTTTCATGGAATCAAAGATTAGGTATTTGTTAAAAAATATAGTATCGTTCTACGTTGCTTTATGAGAAAGATATTTAAAAAAGTAGACATTGTATAAACGTACGATATTATAATGGAGACTGTTATAAAAGTTTGTGTTGCTGGGTTATCTTTGTCCTTTTTTTCTTTTTCTTTTCATCCCATTCCCATAGAGCTTTTCTGAAATACAAAATCRTGGTGCATTGTGGTCTAGCTTTGGTAAAAACTACCATATATGRTCACATGAACAGAAGATGTTTGGACTGAATCTAAACCATAATGCAATGCGTAAAGCTGTTTCATAAAACACCCATACTGCCTCATTCTTCTCTTTCGAAATTTTTTAATCAATATTTTATCTTGGGATTTGACATAGAAATGTTTATRCTAGGAATCGATAAATATCGGTGTTGAACAAAAAACATCTGAAAAKATATATTCGGGTAGCTTGTGTTAAAATTCAAGCCATGGTTAGTCTCCAAAATATCAAAGCTTGTGTGGAAACGGTTTCAGTCGCACAAAAGGCACATTTGCCAAGTCCTCTCGACAAACTTTGAAAGGAAATCTCAAATAGTACAGAATAGTAGCGATACTTTCATCATCGGTAAAAACTAACAGAGTGTGCCTGGGAAGGAGTCTGATTTATAGCCGATGCGATTTGTGCGGGGATTTGTGAACACTTTCAACTACGTACATAACAATAGTGTGGGGATTTCCTTTTAAAATGGTAAGTCACTAGATATTTGATATAGAGTATTTACTCTGAATTATCTTAAGTCCGTTCTGTTGCTTTAGAGCTGCACACAAACATGGGTTCTTTCAAATCTTCCAACGATTAACTTTTAGAAATACAACGATGGACGCTATAAACTGCTATAAAATTCACAAGTCAAAAATAGAAAACAAGTGGTACTATACTTAGCCAAATAATAGAGTATAATGACTTAGCAGAGCACTTTAGATAATGTCTAAAAACAACAACAACAACAAAGGATTTATAATGAACCACAGGTAGCCCAAGCTCTACACTGGGTCGCTTTCATCTGATAAGATCTGAAAAATTCAACAACAGTATTTTTCTTGTACACCTGATTAAACTTAAACTTGTCTCAGTTCACCTCATGGAACCATTCTATCTAGTAATTAGTCAATCAAATGATAAACGGTGTCAAGTTTGCATTTATTCACTGGCTTCTGACCCTGTGATGCAACTGATAAGCAATGCTTCCTTTATATTCTCTCCCAACCTGAAACTCCCCTCCCCTTGAATCCCCCCCCCTTCCCCCATCCAATCTGCTTTGCCATCCCAAACCTTAATCCTTAGACCTTTTAATCAGTAATCTGTCAGGCAAATATAAGTTTGACTTGCATTTCCCCTTTCATTTCCCCATTGGTTTTCTCTTCAATGACTTTAAGGTTTCAGCCTGCCATCCGTACTCAAGAGTTACTGTCCCCATTCTAGCCTGCTTAGCAGCTCTAGGAGAGGGGGAAGGGGGGAAAACAGAAGGGAAGGAGCTCTTCCCTGCCCCCTCCACTTCCGTTTTCCCCCTCCCCCATCCCCTAGAGCTGCTGCACAGGCTATCCCCATTCTTCCCTGCCCTTACTCTTTTACATAGGAAATCTATAACAACCTGAACAAACCCTGAACGACTATGAACTATTTTAGGTCACAAGAATTTAACAGATTAGTAATTGCTCTTCATTCATGACATGTCTTTATTTTTTTCATTTTTCCATGAAGGATTTAACATTTGATAGATTTATATATATATATTTGTCATTGGAACATGGGCTTTTTTGTATCAGGTATTTATATTATAGCATTCGTTATTCCTATTTGTGTTTTTGGTCATTGCCATTATTAAGGCCAGTATCAATATATGTAAGTACTAAGGAATGTTGCTGATCATCGGCAACGTCAAACGCAGATGTTCAATCCCAGTTTTCTTCAAAAATAGTTCAGTTAAAACTTGTGTTTCAGTCTTACATTTTAAAAGTGTTAACCTGTCTCATTACAATGACATTGACCAATGCTGTCCTAAATAGCTAATTCTCTTACATCACTGGGATCGACTTTTCTCACGTTTAAAAAATTCTTCGCCACCATATCGGAGATGTGGTGGAAGTCTTCCTCGTTTAAATCCTCCCGCACCATATCGGTCTGCAAT